TCTGTCACAAATTTTAATCAATGGAAAACAATGACAAAGTAGAATATAATATTTGAGAAATTGAAAGTGTACTCGAAAAAATCTTTTTTAATTCCAAATTTTTTGAAAGACTTTAGTGTACACAACATTTTTTGTATCGTTGTAAGCGTTTTTATTTTCATCTAGAACCAATATTTTTAATCATGTCTTTTTCTTTACTCGTGAAACAGTAACATAAATCTAACCATGAGTAAATCCTGAATTAGTTAAAAATAATATAGCAAAGGACAATGTTTGACATTGACTTTTGTTTATAGTCATAGCAAAACATAAGACTATTATATTGAGAATTCTATCAGATGATACCAAATTTTATTCAGGGTATGTAAACTTTTTTCTCCAACGTGATTTCTCGAAACATCAATTACATTGATAATGTTCTTTCACATCTCTTTAATGATTAATCTTTTACCATTACACAATCCATTTATTTGGTCAATGTTCTTCAATAACATAATCGGTACCCCCTTTTAAAAACTATTTTATGGTTTGAATCCCCTAACATTTGATTTCATTAATAAGAATTGAACTGTTATCTAATCGTCTTCAACAATTACATCTAAATATGTTTGGCATGAAAAATGAGAACTTAAGTACTCTTTTTTACCTCTTAGAATAAGGAATATGACAAATTCATTTGTCATTTAACAAATTCGATTGTGGGTGCTAATAATGCACTATCCTCAAAAAAGAATAAATTTTCATGTTCTCTAATAGGTTTGGATAAGTAAAGTCCATTATACTCTTAAGGGGGTAACTTGTGTCAAGCATCAAGAATTCAAGCGAGATTTCAACGTCAGCAGTTTCATCGATCACTTGTCCAAGTTTTCCATCTTTGACTTTTCTTATCAATACAGAAAAAGATTATGTGTCCCTATCAGTGCAAGAGCGTGTAGATAAATGCAATCTCAATCTCATATTTTTAGCTAACCTATAAACTTTACATTACAATTACATTTGTGAGAATTGGTGGTAGCACCCACAATTTCCTCTCTCTATGCTATGAGTAGACCTGAAAGAATTTGGATAAAATCACCTCCGAGTATAGCTGTTTTCCCTCCGAATGGTTCATTTATGAAGTTATTATTAAAAAATCTCATTACATCTCTCATTTTTCTGAAAAAATTTGTGGGTGACTCATGGTACTTGTCACTAATAATGTGACGAACAACTTTTTCAGCAGATTCCCACATCTTGACTTAACAACCTCTTTCATACCTTCAATAAATTCTTTATCATCGGTTAATAACCTCAATGCTTCACATTATTCCTTGAATGCATAATGTAGAACATTGTTAACTGTCCTCAAGCGCTTATAATTTGTACATCCTTGTTGGACATTTAATACTTCTCAAGTAGTATAACTCTCTAGTTTCTGTAAGCATGTATTGTAGTCTGCCTATTGACGGTCATTGTTGCCTTTGAACTATTTCCACACTTTGTGGTTGTACATAAAATATTCTCGAAACTCTTTGCATACGTCAAATTTTATCCCGCATTATATTTTGTATTGAAAGTCATCCAAGCTTCAAACATTGAGGCTTTATCAATAATTTCTTCGACAACATCTTTTAGTTTTTGTTAGTGTCTAAAGGTTACGAATTTTAGCCTTGGGTTATAAAAATTCAATCTCAGTATTGATCACTACCTTTGTTGTATATCAAAAGAGAGGATTATCCAAGAGGCTTCACATGCAGATACGTAATGACAATCAGACTACTTATTTGTTTCAACAATACCAAAGTTAGATTGGGTAACTGCAACAGTTACTTTATCTAGATCTTTATTTACATATTTAAAGAGATATCTGATTGAATTAGATTTATTTCAATGTTCAATGTTGTTTGATCTTGAAACCTCATCAAGAGTTGTAGGTTGTATGTCACAACAATTCGATTATCCAACTCGATATTCTTTTTCATTATATTCTGGTGACCTCTAAGGTTCTTCTTTTGTATATCAGGTAGTTATTTCCATCAAACGATGTCTTATCAAGAAATTTTTTGGGAAAATGTTTCATAAATTTATCGTTCTCCATATATAGAGATCTAGGATCATTTATGCTACATGGATCATGCATCAATAATCGAGTTACGAACTCATAAAATCTGAGATATTTATCTTTATTATGAACCTCTACACATGTCACACGATCAATTGACTGAAGCGATTGAAGTTTATCCCTCTAGTGTAACCATATTAAGATATGTGCATGAAACAAGCTTCTCATTTGAAATTCAAAAGAGTACAAACATGCACAAAATCATTACATTCAAATGACAATATTTTAAATTGAATGTCCATTTAAATTGTTTTTTATTATACAATATCAAATATTTAAACAACTTAATTTTTTTTATGTTATATACTCCCTCCGTCCCCCTAAGATGTTCTCATTTTGACTTTTGGTGGTTTTTAAGTAGAGTTTAAAAAAGGTGAAAGTTTACCATAATACCCTTAATGAAAAATGGGTAGAGTGTATTAAATGAGGTGGGTGAGGTGTAATAAATAAAGTGGGGGTAGTTGTGGTATTTTAATTGTTAAAAAATGAAATGAGAAGATCTATTGTGGACAAAGAAAAAGGGCTATTGAGAAGATCTATAAAGGACAGAGGGAGTACCATTTAAATTTCACACACACACATAAAATCTAGGTTTACTAAATTATTACAAATATATAATTCTTCTCACCCCCTGAATTCAGAAAATATACGACAAAAACATTAGTGATTTTATTATTCTTC